TCATTCAACGTCATAATCTTTGTCAAATCATCTCTTCTCGAGTCTGCTTATACCTTAAAATTTTTACCATCTTCGTTCCTCTATTATTTTGCAATTATATTTCTCTATTTTGAAATTTCCATTTTTGAGATTTTCAAACTCCTATTTTTATATCTTTCCAAACTTTGCTCTAGCTTTCTATGTGTCTATATCTAGAAAAATTCGCCGCTACTCCAGCTTCCATCTTCTTGTTTTGAGATTTACAAAGTTTCCTGTAGAATTGCATCTAACATGTACCTTCAGCGGCTTCATACACAACAACAATCGTTACACACAGCACTACGCTTCAGCTGTTCTTCTCTCTGTTTCTCTATTATTATAGAAATACCAGAAAGTAATTTCCTTCTCTGCGACATATATCTTCTGAACTACCTCTCCTAACTTCGTATGGAAATTTTCTTTGTATTAACGTTGCTTAAAATATCGTACTCAACGATAGCAAACCACATGCAGATTAATTCAACGAAATACTGAAGGATTTTCCTAAGGAGGAAAATACAAAAGTTAATACTCAGACGTCAAAAACTTGCGAAAAATAGTGAAAAATATTCAATTTCCTACATACAACTTCTTAATAAAATACAAACCGATATTCCTAGTATCCCTATAAATAGATATAATTTATGTACGTAAATGTCTTGTCAGAGTATCGTTCCAGCCTGAACATCGATACCAAACGATTTACGTGTGACTTCAACTTCTGAAAACTAACTCTTGAAATGAAGAGATTTTGGTCGGTATGACGCGCGAGGGTATTGGTCCCATCACTATCGGCGATGATCGGCAAGCACACGGCAGGCGGTCGGCTTCTTTCCCGCAGCTTCTTCACAGGGCGACTCTCGATCCATGTTTCATGAGGCTCCTCGTGCTCGAACTAGAGAGAGGGCCGGCCACGTACAGGCACTTACAAGCCGAGGGAGGCAGGCCGGTGTTCTGAATCACTGGTACTTAGGCGATTCTTTGTGATCGATGCACTCGCGACACCACGGCGCCACCCTTACCTTTTTCTTTTCGCGATTATTATTGTCTTTATCCACCGAGAGTGAGAAAGCTCGTTACGGATGTTGTACGAGTGTTCCTGGCCGAAATTGCTCGCTGCATTTCCGATATCATGAAGTCAATAAAGGAGGTATAAGGAGATCCTCTTAGTAGTAGGACAAGACGATGCTAATATTCAACAGAATGAGAACTCCTGTTGGAAGTTGGAGATTTTTCTGACGTATCGTAATGATTTTCATAATCCAAATTATTCACGTTTCTTAGATTAACGTTACGCTCTTCGTATTCGTCACTTGTCATTTTTATTGAAGATCGTATAGATTTACGACTCGCTCTTTGTAAAGTGATACTTGTACGGAAATGAAACTTGTATTTTACTGTTGCATCGTTAAACTGAAAGATATACTTCTTCGTGACAAATTGAATATAAAGTCGAATATAAATTGATTAACAAATTTCTCGAAACGGTTGTCATTTTGACCACTTGTTTCTAGCATTAGGAATTATTAATATAATATATATAAAGTGTAGTATAAACCTAAGTATCGTAAGTATAAACAGACATGTTTCCCTTTGAACACGAATGTGTAAATCAACATAGTACGTCGTATCTTTAAAAAAGATATTCCACCTAAAGAATCGACGATAGCTTCCAGCGCATCTAAACTTCATCCGAAAAGAAGGAAAAACGAACGACACATCGAAACCTAGAGCAACCACATTTATATAATGTATTTTATTTTGAGAAGCGACATTTCATTTTCACCAAAGCATTTTCTCTTTTCCTCGAGCCGACAAAGGGATGAGTCGGGTTGTCTACAAGCCCCAGGTACCCGGGTTAAACGAAAAATTCGCGCACGAAACGTGCGTGCACGGTTGCAATGGCCACGATGAATAATGGACAGGCGGAACATTTGAGGCAGGGATGTCGTGCAGGCCGAATTCGTAGAAGAGCATCGTCTCATACACGCGTCTACTGCGAAATACAGGTGCGTACGAGCAATATAATCCCGAGGATTTCAGGGAATCATCGACGAATTCGACGAAACCTCCTTTGCGGTGGATGGCGAGAGGGTGTGCGTGACTTATGTTCGCCACTTGTCCCAAACGTGCGTTTGCGAAACGATCACCGATTTCTGATCGTTTGTCTCGCCCGATCGCCCATCGATCTACGTAAAGAACAGCTGAAAGTACATCTCTTGTTATCGCCCACTGAGTTCTCGGTAATCCAGATGAAATTACTCGAGATTTTGCAATTTTCTTTATGATCCTGTTTCTATGTAGCATAATTTAACAGGAAATAATTCCTTTGTTTTGTCTCGTGAAAATATTGAATTATTATTATTATTAATTGTTAGAATTTTAATTGAGATATTTGTTTGAGTAGTATAATAGTAGAGTAGTATAGTTTGCGATATGTTGACATATAATTTTATAGTTCAATACGTTTGCTATGTTTAGTCAGACAGTATGACTGGAGCCAGCATTCTTTTAAATCTAATTTACCATGATGTTTCCAACAATATGAACAAGATTTACCTCACAACACCTTTTCCGATATAAAAAGTACACTTTGAACTTCCGGGGCGTCGATATACGAGGCAAAATTAGTCTAAATGTGTAATATATAAAAAATACTGCCAATATTTAAAAAACTTACTACAAACGCATTAATAAACTCGTGTTTATACGCCAATATCGGTTCTTCCTAGTATATCATTTAAGTTCCGGAGGAAACGAGACGGGACGAACATCGGTATCGCATCGCGTAAAACGAGGATGAAAAATTCGTCTGACAGGAAGCCGATGATGCGTTGTTACAGCTGGCATATTCTTCGATCCTCGATACAACGTTCCGCGATGAGAGAAATTTAAACGAAACATGGAATGAGGTCAGGAACTGATGTTTGTGTAAACGCGGGGTTGGGCTTCCCCAAGTGGAAACTCGCATTAATCCATAGCTCGCTACTCACTTGATATGTACTACGTTTTTTTTTTCCTCCTGCCGAGTTTTCTCCGTCGCTTTTCCGCCACCCCCTTTTCGCTTCATTTCTCTTTCGAACGTGCTATAACATCCTGCTACCTACTGCGCTACGGTGGCATACGACTGAACAAACTGCTGCACAATCCGGCTGATACCGCGAGAAATCTCTGTATTTGTGTGCATGACAGCTTCGAAATTACTTGAATAATACATCTCATTTGGTGTATCTTTCTCTCCTCCTCTGCCTGTCGCTGAATTGCATTTTGTCTTTTTCTGAATTGGATCGAGTCTAATGCTTGCTATCGATAGAGTTTTAGTTATATTAAAATTTTGAGAAACTTAGTGCGGGGAATCCCTAAGTTTCAATATCTTAACGATTCTTTTTTGTTTCATGGCTGTATACCGTAGATTAAATCTAATGTAAAGTTAAAATGGAAATGTGGCGTCACCTGGTATATGAGGAGATAAAATCGTTTAACCTCTTTGCTAAGATTGTGATCCTTTCTATCTTTAAATTTAACGGTGAAACATCTTAACGAGGCTTGTAATTAAATTGAAATGTACAAGAAGCTTGTTCTTAAAAGTGAGCAAAATGTACGCGCTTTATCTTATCTTTAAGCGTTGATCTAAGGAACGAGCTACGTAATAGATACATCATCCAATCCCTTTATCATTTTAATTCCGCCCTAAATCCTCCTTATATTTCAGTTTCCCAACACATCATTCCCAATGTTACCGATTCAGTGTAGATTGTAAATGGTTTAATTCAAACCACTGACCAGGTACAACAGTTCTATACTTCGTCTATGATTCAAACCATGTATCGTGAAAACCGTAAGAAGTTATTATTATCAACAATTTATTAATATTATATCATTATACTATTAATAATAACTGTTAGTAACAATATAATATTATGTAATAAGTTTTAATTCACGATTTCAAGTTTCGAGACTTGTCTGTACTATAACAGTATTATTTCCTGCAGTACCGACCGTCGACCTTACTGCATGCAGTTCGACTATAACCACTGTATCGGATACGCGTTCGAGTTTAAACAGGGGAACAAAGATGCATGCGACTCACCATTAGATGCAGATGTGATTCAGAGAACTTTGTCATCGATGCTGTAATAACTCAGAAAAAGTCAACATCGAGGCCGTCATCAAAGAGTATCATCGTTAAAGGAAACTAGGAAATCTGTAATAGAATGTGAAATATTATAATTTATTCTTAAAAACATAGTACTTCATATAGAAAGTTTCAGATAATGAATGAGATTGAAATTTTAATAATAATAAGAATTTTATAAAATTGAAAGTTCATTATTTTAGATATTATTTTAGTAAAAAAATTAATATTTTTAATTTTTCAAATTAATTATCATTGAAACAAAATATGAAGAATAGACTTACATTTTTAGCCTTTTGTAACGGCATTAGGTCTTGCCAAGATTATAGACAGGAGTAAAGATCGTGTGAATAATCTATAATAAAACGTCAAATGATTTATATCTTGTATATTGTTCTTATAGATAGTATTATGATTTAAAAAGCTTGATATAACGAAATAGAACTTTGTTGAATTTAGATCAAAATGATAAAAGATATAAATAAATTTATAAGATTAAAACCAATTACAAAATAAAATTTAAATTATAAATTTACTCCAAGAAGTTATAATATATAAACTACCATAGTTTGGGGATGTCTTGATACCACGATCTTCGATAACGAATAACACTCCTCACCGTACATCCATCTACTTTTTTTTTGGCTGCAAATATCTTACCATCTACAGAATACATTACGGCTATCGGTAGACCGTCAGAAGTTCTAACAACACAATCGAATATATGTTTGCCAACTTTTACAAATGTAACAAATGATAAACTTTTTAAATGCAATTTAACGAACTTTAGTGCCTCAATTCCATTTCAATTTACGCCATTTTAGATTGTAGAGGGCGCATTGATACCTCTAATTTTTTATACATTTCGGGACGTGGGACGCAAAGTCTCATAAGGTAATAATAGAATAAGTACTACGGTAAAAGAGAATAAGTACTTTCCAGCGTGACGCAATGTGGCGCGCATAACGTGATCAAGGCAGCACAATCGATTTAGTGATAGCGACTCTGTCTACTATAGGTTTTCCTAACCTCAAAGTAACGTATGAGCTGTGCGCGTAAAGGAAAAATTAGAGTATTAAAATTAAACACAGGAGAAAGGAGATGGGCGATGCCGAACTTCAGGAAGAGGAAAGAGAAGTTCTTCTTTCGATATATGAAGGAGATTTGGCTTTTAAACAGTTGACACCTACTACGTTTCAATACAAGGTTTGCTCTTTCCAAAAATTGTGAAATATAATCACGATTGTACTCTTAAATCATAAAATATAATTCTAATTTCTAATTTTAAAATAAATCAGTATCGATAACGAGTAGATCGTGTTTATTCAAATTTTATGACTTCTAAGTTATAATCCTTACATATTGTATAACATTGACTTTATATATAGTATGGAGAGGACAATGATATGAAATCATTTCTATTGGAAATTTCATGGGGCACAACATATCCATCAGAGAGGCCTACCATTAACATGAACACATTTTATAACAAGCACATGTAAGTGGAACCATGTTGTTCACTGACTATTCTTGCAGTCTGTTGCTTTTATTAAAGGTGAATGATTGGAATACAGTGTGCAAGAAGTAAAAGACAAGGTGCTGCAGCATTTGGAAGCAGAGGCGAATCAGTGGCTAGGAAGTGCTATGACTTATACGTTATTTCAATATGTACAAGAACATTATACTGAGTTGATCTCAGCACAACCAGACTCTGTAGTTGATCTAAACTTACAAACCAACCAGCTTAAGATAACAGATGAAAATCAACAGGTAAGAATTAGTTATGTTAAACTATAAATTTGTTTGATATATATGAAAGAGGACCAATTTCTTATGCAAAGTTGGAGGAAACAACAAAAAAGCCAAAGAAGGAACATTTAACTAAAGCTCAGAAGCGTAGACAATGGAATAAGGCAGATGGAAAAGGAGAAAGGCCACGAGGATGGGACTGGGTGGATATAGTAAAACATTTATCACAGACTGGCCCTAAACAGGAACAAGAGTCTTAGTTCAACTTCATTGAAATATTTGTACAGGTTAAAGGCTTGTTATATTTTTATAAATTATTGGAAATAAACTGGTTTCCATATCAGTTTTACTATAATATATCACCTGTGATAAAAATTTGTAAGAAAATATTTATAAATAATTTTCTCATTGCCAACAGATAGTTACAAGATATGCAAATAAAATTACTTAAATAATTAACAATTATAAAATTTTATCGAGGTAAATAATATGGAAGGAACGATATTTTAATTTCCGATGTTCTTGCGCTTCTTTTTTACCATTTTACGATTTTTTACAAAAATCTCCAACCTGCTACTGGTAATAGGTTTGTTTCTGTCATCCATCCTAAAAAATAAAACAATATTTATATGAATAAAAAGAATACAAAACTTGTATCACATAACAATAGAATTATTTACCTTTACTTTCAAGGTCACTAATAAAGGCTTTGTATTCGCCCGAGATCAATAAATTCGTAGCGTAAATGCTCTCTATGGCTTTCGATGATTGTATGCGATTATTTGTATTAGAGTACCTTTTATTAAGTACATAAAGTCGCATTAAAGGATACGACAGATCGCTCACTTCGGGTTTTACGAAAACATCCTGGAGAAACGTAATACTTCAAAATATAAGCATTAAAATTCATTTATATGATTTACTTACAAGTGGCACTTTTAAAGACATACAAATAAACAAGCCGCAAAGGCAAGCATGGAAATATGCTTCCAAGACATCATAAGGCTGCGCGTCTTTTTTAAGACATATAAAAATAGTTTTGTTTTGTACATCAATAGAAATCAAGTATTTTCTATCTAAGAAAAGCTTCAATGCAAGCTCGGTATCACTTGTTAAAATTATATCCTCTTTTATAAGAGCCGCGAGGGAAACACCTATTTTGATATTGAATCCACATATGCTCATTGCTGCAAAGATATAATTAAAGAGCAACAACATGTAGTAACTTAATGCTTGAAAGTAAAATACAACATCCTTACTCGGTTTTGTTAATAATAACACTGATTCCTTTTTGTTAACTTCTTCGGGTTTTGGAATGACTTCATTCGAAATATAACTTTTTACTATTAAAGCTAAGCGATCTTCGTTTAAAGAATTTAAGCATAATGCTTTTACAGCCATGTAATTTGCATATAGATGTATCATCACGAGGAAGAGATACAGTTCCATTATGTATCTACATACAGATTATAATACCATTGGTACATCGATAATATCGTTAGCATGCTTTTTAACAGAATTAAATTCACTTATTACGAAAACAATAGATATATGTAATTGAATATTTACCGTCCATTGTGAAAAATTGAAAGTATTAGAATACCAACAAAGGATGCTATTAAATTTACGCATGTTTCTTGACTTCCGTCTTTAGCAGATACATCTGCCAAATTATTTTGTAATGCCTGTAATGCAAATTAATATGTTATAACTAATAAAATCAAATCTGTTTTAGGCCTTTTGTACCTGATGCTGTGTAAGCGCTGCCCTCGTTGCCCCACCAGCAACACCAACAATCGATTTCATCGCTGTTGAAATGCACAATATTCCAAGTGAATAGGAAGAAAAATAGGGTAAGAATAATTCTAATCCCATTGCTAAATCATTAAGAATATCAGCAAAAAGCCTCCATTTTTTACATTGTCCATCTAAATCTGTCCTAATGAATGAAAGATAATCGCTGCTTTTGTAGAGATTAATTAGAAGTATTGTATTCCTATATATGATTTTATTTACCCATTCCACCATGCAAACACAATACGACCAATCATTCCAGTCCCATCTTTTAATATCCATGTTATAGCTGCTGCTAGCGGAGTAGCTGCTGCTTCACCTACACCTACCCCTTGCATGATAGAATGTGTTGTAAGTGTACCCATTATGGTACTTGCAAATGCCTATAACAAATAAAAGAGTAGTGATAATGGTGTAATTTCGTTCGTGAACAGTAGTTTCACTCATAAAATATAAATAACGTTTGCAGCTTTCTATGCAAACTAACCTGAACTGTATCCCATATTTGATAAGGAGTGTAATCAGGGTGAACGCTATCGGGATATCCTTGAGGTAAAAATACCTCTTTTACAATCGATATGAAACCAGAATAAAAAGACTTCGTTCTAGTTGTGTCTGATAACAGTTCGGTTATCGATTGCTCGTCTGTAGACCAAAACGAACGATAGGTTAGGTAAACTAACAGTGATGTTTGTCATGTCAGAATACAGTTACCTTTTGATTTGACGAAAAACCTATCCTTCTCACCCCCGTAGGCCTCGCTGAATAGTAATCGTTCATGCATCTTGAAGTGCACCGAGATTACGTTGGTTTGATTTGAATGCACCGTGTGAAAACATATGCACTTTTATTAACGATCATAGTAGCTGTTACATCCTCTACGGGCGATTACACCTGCACTATAAATGCGACAAAATTCCCTAATATTCTACTCAGAAGATTTCATAATCGAATGTTTTTGAAAAAAAGCTTCCGTAATGTGTAAAAATGTACAAAGAAGACAACAAAAATACAGTTTTCTTTTTTTTTTACCAATCAATATTATGCCTTAATCTGAAAATGATATTAAAATGAAAAATCTTCTGTTTCATTATTCGAACATTTTTTATATTTCACTTTTGCAATTTTTTCGAGACATTCATATCTGGTAAAATTATAGAAACGTCTTCGATTATTCCATTCAATTCGTTTATACAGGCATCCAATCTTCTTTTTACATTCATCGCATCAAATTTTACGTTCTTGTATAAATTAATCTTTTGCATTTTGTTATGGAAGTCGGAAATTAGGTAGTTCCCACGAATTTCTGCACCACCACTCATTCGACTTGTCATCGAGTGTTTGAATGATTCACGTTCATCTTCCGTACCTTCTGGTAGGTCCGTTTTATATTCGGTCAGTTCGTTTTCCATCATTTTGATTTCTTGCGATGTTTCCTTTTTAGGTTCATTTTTAATTAATTTACTCATCCGACTGCCCTTTTCTCGAACTGCATTGTCTTCGCCATGTGCGTAAGTGTCTAATTGGAAAATGTGACCATTTTTCTGTTCTTTCATATTTTTTAATTTCACCTTTTCTACATCAGGATCAAAAATTGTGCGAATATTACTCTTGGATGAAAATTTCATTTTCTTATTCAATCTCAGATTATGCACCTTAGTATGCGATTCTGTTATGAAACAATTTAAAAAGTTTCGTTTCCTTTTACATTCCATTCTTAAGTCACACTGAACTCCGTGAGAAATTTTCTTTTTTCTTCTCTTCCGTACAATAGGCTTACAATCTGTTACTTGCAATTTTTCGTTCGTACAAACGTTATTTATGTCTTCTACATGGTTAGACGTTCTATCATCAATTTTCGTATATTCTGTCATATAATCATTTATCGAATTATTTTTAATGAGACTTGCAAGAACCTTTGAATTTTCTGAATCAGTAATTTTATCATATCCTACATTATTTGGGGAAATGTCAAATTCACTTCTGCAACAAGAAGAATGTCTGCAAGCAGTTTCAGTTTTCTGAAACAACTTTTTTTCTTTATCAAGACTGACATTTTTAAGAGCACTGACCTCGTCCCGCAATTTCTGTACTTTAAGATTTACGACAGTTACAATTTCTGCAATCTTATTTAAACTATTTTCTCCATCTTGGGCCTTGCAATAACAACGATTTGGCCTTGCTCGTTCTGCGTTTGCTGACATGTTTATTGCTATTTTTATATGACGACATATTATACGTTCGAAATAAAAAGTCCAAAATTATGAAGTCTATTTTTTAACATGAAAAGGTAATTTTTCTTCTGCGTTACATTGGATGTTTGTTATATTTTTATATGAAAATAGGTTACAGGTCCCTTATGACATTATCATGAAGTAAATTGAGATTCGCACGTAGCTCATTTGTTTCTGTATTTAGTTAAAAAATGCAATAAATACATATTTTTTTGGAAATTGCAAACATGCTGCATGTTTTATGAGGCGTAATATGTCCGAAAGGTATGTGAAGGAAATTTTAGAAAAGCTGGAAGAAATTGAGAAATTGCACGGGAAGTTGCGTCGTTTGGTACCTCGAGTAAAAGACTATGAATCGGAAGGCACAAAGACTAATCAGTTCATTATGGAAAAAACGAACGATAATACAAGATATTTTCTGGAACAAAACCCTATCGATTTCTGTCAGAGATTAGAAATTGCAAGAGAAATGTCTAAAGACTTGATAACCAAAGTAAAGAAATTATGCGAACCCAATACGAAGACCAGGAAATATTTCAAAAAGTTTAAACATTATTCTAACAACAAATGGGAAAGTTTCAAAGACTATTTGTCGACCATGAATGCATCAGACATTATCTTCGGTAAAAAAAAAGCAATAATTATACTAAAAATATAATAATAATTAATTGTTTAATATTCGAAATAGATAAATATACTATATTCGGTTATCGTTATTACAATTTCTAGTAAGTAGAGGCTCTCAAACATCAGAAGCCAATTTACCTAGGATGATTTCAGGAAGAACGTCTTCAACTCCTATTGCAAGAGTAAGCCAGATTTTTGGAAGAAGAAGATCCACACTGAGAGATCTACCAGAACAGTTATTAGCGAGTTTTGGTTATTCTCGGGATTCTAACTCTGTAAATGAGAGTATAGTGTTAATGCACGACCATGCTTTAGGTAAAGATGAACCGCATAAGGTGCAGAAAATGTTGATCATTCCAGACCAGGAAACTGAAACATTGAGGGTCGTTGCATCCGCAAGAAGAGTCTCGGTAGGAGGTAGCAATAAAAACGGTCTTCATAAATCGCCATGAGAATACATACCAACATTCAATTTAAGCAACGAGCATTTCTCTGATCATATCTAGGACATTGACGTGATCATGTTTTACAAACGATATCTATAACTTCCCTCGTAATCAACACTTGTAATAAAAGAGATTACAACGGACGTAAAATATAAGACATTGGATCCAAGAGAAAAATTAATATCATGTATATTAAATATATTAATATACTAAATTATAATATTTGTATATACAAAAATTGAACTGCGAATGTTTACTCCTTTATGGAAAATTTGAAAGTGCCAAAATCCACGTAACGCATGCTTCTATCGAGATTCTATTTTTCGATTTATATTAACAACAATATGAATTTGCATAAACAATCCCAGTGAAGTAATTATATATACCGCGTATATTTAATATATATTTTTTATCTGTTTAAAACTTACCACCAATGTTGCGAATATTTCGCATTACCGTACTATACTGCCATCTGAATCCGACTGGAGAATGAACATTGCCATACTCGAAGTGGCCAATGGAAAAGAACGGAAATGTTTGAACGAAACCTTAGAGTGCGTGGGCTGGCAGATGGGGGTACCGGAAAGGCGGGTTGCACAGGAAGTCACGGAGGTTCAAACATTACGATCACGAGTAAATCCTTCGATCGTGCTTAATTTAATCCCCTATGAATCGAGTTCGTTTGTAAATTAGAAGGAAACATTTAAACTTTAATATTACAGGTTTACGTTCAATAGTCATAACTTAGTATATCCGTTTACGTTTCATGTTTCCTTAATTTAATTGTCGTCTTTCCTTTGCCGTTTTAGAAAAGGATTTTGTAACGTAACTGCAACTTCAATGCTGCTTATGTACCATAACTAATCTCTTCGTTTTCGTTTCTAAACGATTAAGGTATGACGCGAACGTGTTGTGATCGCATATCTAATTAAAAAAAAGTTTTATAACAATTGCAAATTCAATGCTATTTACGCACTATGAGTAATCGATTTCAACAGCGAACAAATAAATTCAGATATTACACCGCGGTTTGTACGGATTCCAATCGCATCGATGGGCTATTAGAGACTTTGCAGAAAAATTGTGCCCGTAACGCGATTTTCTATGGCGTAAAAAGTGGAACTCTGACTTGCACATACTGAATTCTTGCTCGGGGCGATGAACAATCAGCACTGGTAATGGGTCTAACGGTTTTTCCTAGGGGGAAAAAAAATGTGTTTTCAGACATAGGAGCAAGCATCACAGATATTTCTGTACGCCGAAAAACGAGCTTCTTTGCGAAAGAAGCATTGCTTTGCTATTAATTTTTTAATCTCGATTTGGATAAAAGATTTCGCGTTTGTACCTACGTTCAGTGTAATTAGAATATTTCGAAAACAACAGCAAGATTTGAATATGGGAGAGCGAAGAGAATCGTAACAGGATAAAACGTCTGCCAGTTTGAAGCTTCGCAAAGTGTATCACGGTATCAGGAGGATAACAGAGGCTTGGTTCTGAAAACAAGAAGCGTCTGATAAACAAACCGGGCGCACTTAAGCGAACCGGGTAAAAGTGCGAATAAACGAGCGTACGAAGAGCGTGCCGCCACCGTTCCCCGTACCCCTTCCTAGGCCCCCTGCTCGTTTTCCAGTCAACGACTTCGTCGGATGGTGTTGCACTTGCGTACACTGTTGCATGCGGGAAATATGGTGTGCCGCATACACGCACGTGGGACGCGAAGGTGGGGCTATGTCTCGCAAGCTATTCCTGTACACTGTACACTGTACACCATGAAGTCGCAAGTAGCATAACAACGCGGCCCTATTCGTCGTTGTGTACGTTTCGTCGCGGCAAACAGATAGGATGGTGGATTGATAACGCAACGATATATTGGAATTTCGCGTTCTACTTTTTCAGCCGTTAGGGGTTCAGCTTGTAGGAACGTTTACAAGACTCCATATCCGTTTTCATTGATCGCCGATGGTTCTAACGAATCGAAGAGAGAAAGGATTTGTCGAGTCGCATTGAACGTCGTGTGATGTTGGTCGCTGGTTTCATCGTTAACAAGTACAGAGCGAGCTCGACGATTCCTAGAATGACCGTCGTTGCTTCAATGTCCGTTTATGGTGCGAATAAAAGGACCAGAGGATTAAGGATTTTCCTTTTCAAATTTCGACCAGGCGAACGGACGAACACGTGTTTCGATGCTTTATGTTATTCGTAGCTGGGTCTTCCTCGAGTAAAAGGTCAGCATGTTTGTACAGCGAGTCTGCTGCGAGCAAATTGAACGTCGGTGATTTGTCTACGTACGCGTGTAGGATGTAAATGCGTTAAGAAATTCGTGGAATGTTTTTAAACACC